CGCCCATGAATGGATCACCAATGTGAAAATAAAGAACATGTATGCTTCAGTTAAGAAGCTGAAATGTGGAAAAATGTGAACTGATAAATACGTAAAACATTAATACCACAACAACATTTTTATTGTACAGCACTGTACTTCTAAGAAACAAATAATACAGATTAAAAAACGAGTGGGATTCTAGAACTTCCAGGTTATGTTGGTACGATGCGCCGGGGGTCCCGGCTGTAGAGGTCGAGCTCCTGGTACAACAGGAAGCTCCTCAGTCGGGGGGGAAACACCTGCGAGCTCATGATTTCGGGGTTGTTGAGTCTCTTCAGGGTGAGACACCTCCTGACCTCCAGTCTGCAGAGGTGCCTGAGGGAGCGAGGGCTGTCTAGAGAGCAAGGAGGAAGAAATGATTGACTTCCTGAAATCATACTGTAATAAAACACATTTTGGCCCTAATAAATGGAGACCAGTCACTGGGATGATCAGCAAGAAACGATCGTTGGTATCAAATACAAAGAAACTGTAAAACTCACTGAGGACGTCACGTATTTCGGGCCACTCCCTCTGCCCCTCCAGGAGCAGCCTGAGTTTGGAGCAGATGTGGACGTGGCCCACGTAGTCCAGCAGGGTCCGGACCACGGCCCCAGAGAGGTGCACCACGCAGCAGAGGCTCATGAACTCGCAGAACTGGAGAGAGGGCGAACATTCAGCGTCATTACCGTCGCCTTTCCCTACGCCTTCATGAGAATAAACACATTTGTAGAGACTTCACTTTTTGTCCTTCTGCCTCGATGATGAATGTACATTTACTGAATTTGTGTTCCAGAGCAATTTAGCATCGTGGATTTGTTCAATTCAGATTGATGGACCTTCAATATTCAGACGATTTTTCCTGCTGAGAAGCTTGTCTCAAATGACATAAGAAACATCCTTATCCTGGTGCATGCAGTGTAAGAGGTTGGTTAGAATGTTAAACTTCCTTCTGGATTTGGACATCCAACTATCCCAATCACTGCGGTTAATGGGGTAACAGAAAGTGTATTTTTCTGAGAGCGTCACACCAAATAAAAATGGGAAGGACCAACGTGAGCCGCTCACAGGTATTTCGCCCCCCGCCTCATTCGGCGCACGCAGGGTGTCGTCATGGTGACAGCGGAAGCACCTCTCCACCTCATAGCCGGCGTTGAGGAGCAGCCTCATCATCGCCTCGTCCTTCAGGCAGTACTGCAGCGCCGTGGGAAACACCGTGTCGCTCACCACCGCGAAGCAGCGGTTCACGTCGGCCTTGGCCGTCAGCAGCAGCTTGACGATCTCGTGGCGCCCCGAGCGGACCGCCACCAGGAGGCAGCACAGCGGGTCCAGGTCCGTCCTCGCCCCGGCCGCTAGCAGCAGCCGGGTGCAGTCCACGTCCCCGTTGGAGACGGCAAAGTACAAGGCGCTCCTCCGCATATCCCGGTAGCTTTCGGAGTTTCTGGCATCCATGCGGTAGTTGACGTTGAAGCCGCGGGCCAACAGGAGCTTCAGGCAGTGGCGCCGGCCTCCCTCCGCCGCCGAGTGCACCGGGCTCTGGCCCGCCTCTTTGATGGCCTTCTTGGTAGTCAAAGGCAGCAGCCTCTTCAGGGCACTGTGGGAGAAGAAAACAAGAGTCAAGTCCCACCTCTCCAAAGGCAGACCGGCCAATCGCAGCGCGGAATCGCCCGGTTTGACCAGGGTCAAATATCCTGAACCCTCATCAATGGTTCCAGATGTTCAGGCTGCTTTTAGTGGCTCCGGAGGTCGTCGAGGTTTAAACCCTGTGTGATAGTGACGCTGGAAGCAGATGTTTCTTCCTAGGGAACCTTGGACAGAGCACGACATTCTCCACAAGACGAGCGGCCTCGGGGGCTTACTCGTAGTGTCCAGCGTGCGCCACCTTGTGGACGGGCAGGTGACCGGTGGCACTCGGCAGGTTGGGGTCGGCTCCGTTGTCCAGCAGCAGCTGAATGCAGGCGGTGCTTCCGGACCCGGCCGCGTCCATCAGAACGCTTTCCCCGTTACAGGCCTGGGAGTTCACTGAGCTACCTGGGGGGGAGACAATGGACACCAGGTGTCCGGGTTACATTGTTCCTCCCTGGCCCCTGCACTGCGTTTTGAACCCTCAGACTGACCACAGTTCAGCAGAATCTCAGCCACGTGGAAGTGCCCGTGCTCCGCAGCCAAGGCGAGCGGCGTCCTGCCCGATTCGTCCCTCTGGTTGACACGGCCGCCGTTCCTCAGCAGCAGCATAAGGACGTCCACGTCGCCGGCCGCGGCCGCCTCGTGCATCGCCGTCCTCTTCCTGCAGCAGACCTGATCCACCCAGGCGTTGTGCTCCATCAGCGTGGACGTCATCTCGCACGAGCCGGCCTTCACCGCTGCAGGGGGGGCAAAAAGTCCAAAGTGTGTCCAATGGCTTATCAATATAATTATGACGTGTTCATTTAATCTTGTTGATTTGGGGTAAGAAACTTCAATAAATCCAGAGGTTTGAACACACCAATATAATAGATATTAAAGATGAATTATGATTAGTTTCATTTATAATCTACAAGTACTAGTTCATCACCAACATCACTGGTGGTTACGATGTTTAACTGCCGAAGAGATATCCTGGCAATTTGTTTTTGGTGTGGTGTGGTGTGGGGGGGGGGGGTTACCGAGCAGCAGCGGCGACTCGTTGCTGCCGTTGGTGTTGAGAGGCGAGGCCCCGTGCTCCAGTAGGGTCCTCACGTTGTGCACTAGCACGGCTTTCACCGCAAGTGTCAGCGGCGTCTCCCCCCCCACGGCCGTCCTCTCCTCCAGGCCGAGCCCCCGAGCACCCGCTGACAACGAGCAGCACAAACACATCAACACTCCAGATGTCGAGTATAATTAAAATATACTTCAAGTTGAAACAAGGTTGGAATAAAGTAGTTAGAAGAGTTGTATCTAAGTACAACTTGAAGGTGTCCCAAATAATACGTCATTGTGTTTAAGTACATGTACTGATGATATACAATTAGCATACTAACTACACTGTGAGTACAGAACATGCATTAAGCATGAGTTCATCAAGTACACTTAAATGAAATGTACTTCCTTGTTCTGCTAATTAATTAATCAATTGAAATATTGTTGCTATCGATATATATATTTCTCCTCATACTGAAGAAATGTCCTCACATGTCAGGACGGTCTGCAGAATCTCCAGGACCGGCTGCGAGGCGGCTCGATGGAGGGGAAGCCAGCCGCGACTGTCCCGCTCCCTGAAGGCGAAGGTGTGCCTCAGCATCCCCCTCAGCATCAGGACCTCACCTGGTCGCCGTGGCAATGAGACAACAACCCACGAGGGGTTTTGAGCAAAGGAATCCAGGACTCTGGGAAGCTGAGGAAATATTCTGCACAATGTGCCTGCGTATTTATGGGATGTTTATTTATCAGCAGCCAACGGACGGCGAAGGTACTTCCTGTCCAGCTCACCTTGCTCAATGGCTGCCAGGACCTTCAGATTTTCATCCGTCGCTGCTCCTAAACTAACAGCCGGAGTGGAGGAAGCAGTCAGCTGGTTTGATCACATTAACACATGTTCTTGACGTGTGGACGTGGCTCCCAAACCTTGCTGCAGATTTCAGAAAGGCATCTTGGCAGGAGTCTTGAATACTGAGCTGGATGATGTAGTCACTGAGCTCCTCTTCAGCATATTCTTCATGAGTGTCCATCACTCTGCAGGGAGGACACCCACAATAAAGAAGGATTCATACTAATAATACTTTTTTACAGCATTTATGAATCATAAGCATGAGCACATTAGTTACAAATCACCGTTGTTTAAAGCTACTAAAAATAACGTGTGTTGTGTTGATTCCGGCGCCCCCTGTGGACTAAAGTCATGTTGTCTCTTTTCTCCAAGGTCTCTTAAGGAAACCTCATTATACTGCAACATGGTCTGAGAGTCCGGTTCTTTCAGTCCTGGTTCTGGTTCTTCAGCGGGTCCAGCAATATGTCCTGGGTGTCCAGCAGCGTGGAGGAGAGACTATTTGTCTCTGTTGGAGGATGGAGGACCTGGGTCCGTTCCTGGTGTACTGGTCTCTGCTGGAGGATCTGTCCACAGAGGACTGGTCTCTGCTGGAGGATGGAGGACCTGGGTCCGTTCCTGGTGTACTGGTATCTGCTGGAGGATCTGGATCTGTCCCCGGTGGACTGTCTCTGCTGGATTCTGAGCTAAAGGAGGTTCTGGTGAACCTGCATGATGTCGTCTGGTTTCCCAGGAATCCGAACCAGTGTCCCCGGCGAGGAGCGTTAAGAAGAACCATATAAAAATAGACCATCCTCTCTGACGGTTCACATTTAGAAAAAAAGACTTAATGGTCTTCAGCAGTGTGTTAGTTGGTTTCGACTTTAAAGTCCTATGATGACGCTCAACTCATGATGTATTTTGTCCTTTAACGTCTTGTGTCTTAGTTGCTGTATTTCTCACACAGATTTCCATCCAGTTGGAGTGCCAGTACAAGAGGGTGGACAAATAACAGAAACACTTACAAATAAATCCACCAACTAATTGCCGATGCAGCATCGTTATGTTATTGTGTCCAACCCCTTTACAAACATAAAGAATGTCACACAAAGAAAAACCAACAAAAAAAAACGGTTAGAGTCAAATACCCGCAGATGACAAAGACTCTCACCTGCGAGACGTGCAGCACCCAACAGTTCTGTCCCGAGGCGAGTAACCGGGGGGGCGATGGGGCCGAGGGGCGTGAGCGGGTCGACACCTGGCCGCTCTTAAATATAGCCGGGCTACGTGTGCTATTGTGTCAAGCTAAGCCGGGGTCTTTGCCGGGAGTCTGACATTCTAGACCCCAAAAGCCCCCCCCCCCCCTGAAAAGAAAATAACAGATCAAATCTGAGCTTAGAAAGCAGCTAAAAATGAAAGGAACGAACAGTTGAATAAATGTTTTATGTGAAACATCATTTACAACCATGTAAGATTAACTCATATATACTATAAATGTGTACTACAAAAAGTATGTATAAAAATCATTCCTAAATTCAAAATTACAAAAGTACCAAAAGTAAAGCGTGGGTGTGACGTTATAATCACATGAATGTAGTGAAGTTGACAGACTGTATAATACTTTTTCCAAGTTGAAAATACAACACTTATCATCATGCGTTCTTTTCTTTTTTTTTGTAAGTTAGTTAAATCCCCCCCAACACAGAACAAATCACACCGCCTCAATTGCCAAAAAGCACATTACAGTACAGTAGTTGGTACACAAAGTACTACATTTGGTGTAGGAGGGAAGTACAGACAACCAGAAACCAGTAGTGGATCATACATCAACATTATGGGTCCAGTGAGAGTCTTCATTTTATCAAAGTATTGTATGATCGAGCCCCAAGTGGATTTGAATTTCTCAGGATGTACCCGCACTAACAACTTGATTTTCTCCAACTTTAAGAAGAACACCAGGTCCTTTAACCACAAGGAGGAGTTGGGAGGGCGAGGTGACTTCCAGTCCAATAGGATTCTCCTTTGTGCCAAGAGGGTTGAGAAAGCAATTATCGTTTGTGTTTCTTCAAAGATAAAGTTTGGTCTTCATTCCCCTGAACACTAAAGATGCACATCAAAGCACCTGGCTCAAGGTTAAGATGAAGAGACTATGATAAGACTTTGAATATTGCCACCTAGTAACTTGTCTATTGAGAGCAGGACTACAACATGTGTGTAAAATCTGCCATTGCAGCTATCCTTTACATTAGAGTACATTTTTGAGTTTATAGTAGTAAGCAATGCAGTACTTTGAATTGTAGTACATTTAACCGTGCACACGAGGAGCTGTTTACTTGCACCGTCTAGTGTAGATGGAGGAAAGAGGTCATACATTCTGGACATTACTCTCCTTGTTGATGATCAGAACCATACGTGTTGTTTTATTACAAGCTGAGAAATTACATGAATCCTCAATCATGAACGACCAGAGATGAAATAGAATCACTTTCCACCCACAGGTCCTCTATCGAATGACGTCATGTTGTATCATGTTTCCTGGATCTCCTCTTGTTGTTTTGTACGTTCGCCGTGATCCTGAATCTATTGTCTGGTCCGGTCTCATGTGTGAAACAGTGTGACACCCTGACACCCCCCTTCCCGGGCCCTGTGATCTCGGGGGGGGGGCGGCTGATGTGCAGCTGCAGATTTAGTGAAGCTTTGCGGGGGCCAGCGAGTCGCCTCTTCAGGCTCTGGGGCTCAAATTGTAGCTCAACATATAGGCTAGAGATCCCATACTGTCATTGTGCTGGAGAGAGTGTATAGGGGGGGGCTATAATATGACCCTGATTCTGATCAAAACAATGACACAACTGACTTCATGGGACATTTATGGTGCAACTATTTGTTGTACTAGTGATGGTCTTTCTTCTTCAGGTTCACTTGGAGGAAAGGTTCAAACATTCTTTAGTCGTATTAATCAAAAACACGACCGGTTTTGTAATATTTTGGGGCTTTTACTTTGACGGGCCAAGCGACTGCTGCGTTTAGTTTGTAGTGACTTTTATTGAATTTCAAGGATTCCAATATCCTGTGTGCCTGTTATGAAACGTTAATCTCAGGCCACGCACGAAATATGACACTGTTACTAATACTACATGCAGAAATAAAAAAAGAAAGATTTAAAATGTTGTTTTTTAATCCAAGAAAATGGGTTTTAATTTTAGAAACAAGTCTTGGTTTTCCTTCAAGGACAAAAGCGGTTGTTGTCATGCTGCCGGACACTCTTTGGTCTTCTCAATGAGACTTTCTTTGTCAATAAAGGCTTTCAGTTTCAGTTTCTCAAGCTAAACCTAAATGTATGCTTTTATTTGTTCATTTCAACATAATTAATCACATTACAAATATTCCTCCCATCTTCTTTCTTGTTAAAAAGAAAAAACAAAACAACAAGGAGATGAGTAAAACAGCAACTCATGAAAGGAGTGGCGTTTGCCGTCTCCACAGCAACGTGTAAACTCTGCCGTTGCCTAGTAACCGAGCTAACGTTAGAAGAGACGGCATCAGCTGCGCTTTGCTAACAGCAAAAGGGACGAAAAACGGGAATAAAGAACAAGTTTTAAACGAGTGACAGAGGAGCGCTCCTCATCGCTTCACCTGCTGGGTCTCACTGACTCTCTACCGGATTTACGAGATTGTTAAATTCAGTTGTCTTAGCTAATTAGCTAGCGTTCGAGCTAACTAGCTACCGTTAGCCGCTCGCGATGTCCGAGCAAAGAGGAAACGAGGAGACAAACCTTCAACCAGGCGCAGGCGCGCCGCCAGAGGACGACAGAGAGCCGGGGGGGGATGGACACGAGGAGCAGGCCGGCAGGTCCACCACAGGTGAGTCCGCTTAGACCGCAGGTCGGTTTAATTATAATGAATTTACAAATATTAATATTAAAATGTTATACTTGTCAAATTATCTTTCAGGTTTGATGTCTCTTTTAAAGTTGCTAAACTAAAGAACAGGCAGAAGATATAACTTACAGAGAACAATTTGCCCTAAAAAGACCTAATTTGAAGCCCTTTCATGGTAAGATCATTACCATGTCAGACATCTTAATTATTGTCCGTACTCTGTGGACTGCAGGTGAGCCTCAGGCTGATCACCAGGTGAGAGAGCCTCCTGGAGGAGAAGGTGCGGGGAGCTCCGCGGTAACAGGTAATTTACTCCACGTGGCCATGCTCTCCCCCTGTACGGAGTGTTTGTACGTGACGACCTTCTGGACTGTGCAGATGTTCCGGAGGAAGAAGCTGAAGCTCGATCTGCTCTTCAGGATGAAGCAGAGCCTCGCGGAGGAGAAGATGCGGGGAGCTCCACGGCTACAGGTGAGTCAGGGATAAAAAATAAGGCGGCACGAGACAAACACGAACCCATAACCAAGGAGTGCTCGATCACACTCACCCGCTGTGGGATTGTGTCATCGGCTGCAGTGAAGGTGGTGCTGGTGCCGGGGGGTCACGTGATGACGGTGGCCTTCGCCATCGGCCTCCGCGTCCAGGAGCTGAAGCTCCAGCTCGCCGCCGAGCTCCGGGTTCCAGCCGAGGTTCTGCAGATCTCTCTGGACGGTGCGTCCCGGGTCCCGCCCCCTTTATCCCACAGGCGTACAGCTGTAGGATACAGGATAAGTGTTGTAGAGCCGTGGTTTATTTCACATGAAGGGTTCCCTGTGTCCAGTGACAACGTGGAGCCGTTGTTTTGATGTATTTCATTATCATTGTTTTTATTCCACTGATCCACATGTGGTGCTGATGAAACAAGAAGATGCTTGTGTTTATCTTCATTGGTCCTTAGAGGAGCTTGAGTTTTTCTTGAGTTTTTAATAGGAGCAAATCGAACAATGTTATTTTCCCCATTGATTTGTAGCTTGAAGAAATATTGCAATAAAAAAGACGAGCCTGTAAGCTTGAATAAAAAGGAATTATCATCTGCTTAAAAACGATATTCGATTTTCTTTTTTAAAGCTTGAGTGGTTGAAGTGAATATTTTAACACAGTGTAAGTATACTCTTTTCTAAACTGAATGCCAAGGGACAGTAAGTACGGAACGGAAGTAATCAACTAAAGTACAAGTACTTCTAAAATATACTTTAGTGCAGTAAAGTTACACCACTGTTCTTCAGGCAAGGTGGTGGAGGAGCAGTGGAGTCTGATGGAGCTCGGTGTGCAGCCTCAGGGCTCCACCCGGATGGAGATGAGCTCCACCGACCCAACCGCCCACCCGCTCCGCCCGCTGTGCCCCCCGGAGCGGGACAACGTGCCGGACGTCATCACCGTGCGAGTCCAAACAGGTCAGAACGCGCTGCCCCTTCGACTGGGAAGCAGCTTTCATTGTTTCATTGTTGCTCAAACATCTTTTCACAAATGTAGGATTTTAAGATACATAAATACACACCCTCCTGACCTCCAGACAATGGTGTGTCCCGAGAGGTGGTGGTGGAGATCGAGCGCCCCCCCCAGCAGAAAGCCTTCCTGGGTGGCTACAGGCACCGGCTGACGGAGGTAGAGTACCACCACGCTGCCGCCCAGACTCCACCCAAGAGGAGATCCGACAGAGAGCTGGTGGTCTTCAGCCGCGACACACAGGTAATCTACATACATATACATGCATACATACATACATACATACATACATGCATACATACAATCTCCCCATGTGTGATTTGAGCCGTGTCTTTGTCAGATAGCGCACGTGAGGTCTCGTGCACTGCAGTGTCCAGTCGACGTCGCCACACAGATGACCGCCATCGGCTGCCACATCTCCTGCAAAAGCGACAGGCTGGTCGCCGTACACGGCGCCTACATCACTGCCGAGGAATACCACGGCGCCCGGCTGAGAGCGGTGTGTTCACGTCTGGCTACGATGCACTGCAGCGTTTCATTCAGTGTTTGTGTGTGTATATATATATATATATATATATATATATATATATATATATATATATATATATATATATACGTGTGTGTGTATGTGTCTACTATCTGTGTGTGTTTGTTACCTGCCCAGGTGATTCGTCTGCAGGCGTTCGCTCGGCGCTGGCTGGCCTGGCAGCAAATGGACCGGCTGCGGAAAGACCGAGACCAGCGGCTGGCCTGGCTGGAGCTGCAGGAGAGGAGGAGGAAGTGGGAGAAGGAAGAGCAGCTGAGGGACCACCGCCGCTGCCAGACCAACCCACAGAGGAGGAAGGACTTCGAACTGCTGTACCACGCGCTAGAGAGTAGGCCGGGGCAGCGTGTGTGTGTGTGTGTGTGTGTGTTTGTGGCTGGTAGGCCCTGACTGCCAGTGTGTTTTCAGGGTGGAGGCGCGAAGAGGAGCAGCGGATCAGCATGACCCTGCAAGGGGTTGAGAGGAAGGTCGCCCTCTGCTCGCTGCTGGAGCAGGAGACAAAGCTCATCTCCAGCATTGAAGAGCATCGCGCCGCAGCCCGGGAGGACGGCCGAGAGCAAGCAGTCATTAGCCTGCTGGACAAGGTCAGAGGTCGCTGCTCGAACTGCTCTAATGATGGAGACCTTACCGTAGTACAGTTTGTAGTAACAGTAGGGTAGCAGAAGTAGCAGCAGTTTACCAGTATAGGTAGCGGGGGAGGCAGTAGTAAAAGTAGTAGTAGGACAAAACGTAGTACTAGTAGTGTATGAGGAGTAGTACTAGTAGCATTCTATGTAGATGGATAGATTATTGCTTTATTACGGTAATTTTTTTTGCCATAACAGCATTTATACATTTTTAATGAAATATAAATATGGACATGGGGTAGAAGAAATGCAGTGGTTGTACTAGTTGTAGTAGCGAGACTAGTAGTAGTATGCTGGAGAGGGAGAAGTACTAAGAGTAGTAACAGTACTAGCAGCAATTCATATTTCGGGATATATACCAATATCAGTAGCATGTTTTTGTTGTAATTGTAACAGTAGTAGTAGGATTATTGATAATACTACTTACTTACTTACTACTACTACTACTACGTAGTTTTCTTGTCAGCTGTAGAAGCGTATTAGGAACAATATATAGAGTATTATTAGCAGCAGTAGTACTAACACTATGTGTGTGTGCGTGTGTTTTCAGTCGGCAGCCCCTCATCAGTGGCGAGCGGCAGACGGCCGGATGGTGAGCATTGAAAATGAACACACCATCAGAGCCAGAGAGCTGAGAGATCTGTATGAAGACATCAGCCGCTCATCTGTCAGCCGGGAACAGAGACTCCACGTCCTCCTGACCCTCAAACACACCATGAAGGTGCATGCGCACGCACACACACACACACACACACACACGCACACGCACACGCACACACACAACACTCAACATCTCCGTGAAGGTACTAGACCCACACAACACACGCTGCTGTCTGACAATGAACTTTAATTGAGTTAATTTAACTGAGTTAATTTTGGATTAGTTTAGCTTAACATCACTTAACTAAAATAAGATAAGTTAAGTTCATTTGGCTTTTTTCAGTTTTTTATTTCTTACTTATGCACCTGAGATAAACTTTACTCTTTAAAGTGACAAACCGAAGGACTCTTGTTTCCATCCTCACTGGACAGGTGCGCGAGTGTCAGCTGACCCGGGACGTGGTGGGTTTGATTGACAGGGAGGTGGACCTGATGACTCGGGGGGTGAAGGCGGCCAGTCTGGAGGGGCTGAGGAAGAGGATCTCCACTCTGTTCCTCCAGTACATCAAAACGCCGGCGTTCAACCCTGAGGTGGCCAAGCTGCTGAAGGTAAGACTGTGGTAAACCTGCACACCCTTTCAGAATAAAATGCGTGACACATGCCTCCCATGATCTTAAAACCTGCCTCCATGTCCCCCAGAACGCCTCTCAGCTGAAGAACGGCACGTTCCTCTGTGGCGCCTGCTCTTGCTACCTGCTTTCCTCCGACTTCAGCCTGGCCGCCGGTGCCCGTCCAAGGGGCCGGTGCCGCAACTGTATCAACCTCGACAACATAGCAAGGTCCCGGAAGGTCTTCTTTTGCTATGAGAAGATACTGAGGAGGCTGAGAGCCGACGAGCAGCGACTCAACAGGGAGGCCAAGATCCCCTTCCTGCTGCAGGTGGCTGGCTCTCCCCTTGCGGGCTTCCATCCATTCTGGTCCCTCTGTTACCCTGACCTCCACGTGTGTGTGTGTGTGTGTGTCCTTGCAGGTGGAGGACCTGCAGTACCTGGTCGAGGTGGTCTGGGAGTCCCGCTCAGCCCTCCAAGCCAGCAGTGACATCTACGACCTGGTGTTGGTCCGCTGGGAGCGCCGGACGGACTGGAGCCCCTGGAACTGTATCCTACTGTCCAAAGATGCGGCTCCAGCTCACCTGGAGGTGGAAGACGTCCACAAGGTGTGTCTCTGTAAGCGCGCACACACATACGCACACACACAACGTTTGCTTTGCTTCACTTGATCTCATCGTATCCTAGTTTAGCTTAGACGTGTGCAGGAGGTCATTGTGGACGTGGTTCCTGGGCCACAGCCCTGAAAGTAGCACACCTGGGGCTGATGTCCGGTAGTACTGCAAGTACTGTAAGTACTGCAATACAATATCACACAAAAGTCAGGCTGCTACAACTCGAGCTCAACAGTCTCAAACCTTCCTCTTATAGTTCCTTTATGTAAGTAATTACAGTAGGTGGAAAAAGTGCCATTGGGGTCTGACTCCTCCCATTCTGAATAGATTCAGGGACCGAAAGAAAAGTTTAACCTTGAATGCCTCATAACAGAAGATGATTTTTTTATTTGCAGAACAGAATAAAATGTTAATTCTAATTTGTAATAATTCTTTTTTAATACAACTAGTAGTTTTGTTTAGTTAAAACCGCTCATTGGATAGCTGAGCTCTAGTGACAAAGACACACAACACAAGTTATTACTTTATGGACGTGACATTGTGCTCAGAGCCCTTCACCAAAACATACACAGAGGGTTCTGAATTGATTTAAAATACAACAGGAAAACTTTATTTGTCTTTATTCTGTTCAGAGGACCAAAAGGTCAACTAAAACTTTCAGTAGAGTTCAGACTCCGCCTCCTCTCTGTGTGTTCAGGCGTACGAGGCCACGTTCATCCTCAGCATCCAACACAAACACGTGCTGGCCCGGCGCCACTTCAGCCAGCTCTCTGTCATGGCCGAGCACCTGGACCCTTGGCCGCCCGCCCCCCTGGGTTACCAGCTCGTCTCCAAGACCAGCACCGTGGTGAAAGGCCAACGCACCAGCCACAACTCGGCTCGTTAAGAAACGCGCTTATTGTGTGGTTGTCCAAAATAAAGGTCATGATGGTTTTGGCTTATCCTATTCATTTTTGTTCCTGTGCTTTTATTTTGAAGGTAGGCTGTGGAAACACTGAGAGACCATGGCCTGCAGACAAAATTATACAGATGATACTGAGATAAGAGAAGAAAGGAATATAAATAAAATCTGGTTGTTAATGTCAAATTGAATGTGAAGTAAAAAAGATGTTAGGTCAAAAAATATTTAGAAAAAACAATAAAGAGAGATGGTTCGATTAGTCTTTCGCCCCTATACCCAGGTCGGACGTTTCTTTTAAAAAGTCAAAATAGGCCGGTTTGAAAAATGTCATGGAAAGAAAAGTAAAATATTATGTCGTAAAATATTCTCAAAAAAAGTAAAATATGTTAAGAAAGCCCTTATGGAAAAATAAATCAGAAAATATTATGTCGTAAATTATTCTGAAAAAATGTATGTATTTTGTATGTAAAATATTATTAAATATTATTTCAAGTTGAAAATATTTTAGTTTTTCTCAGTCAACTTTGACAAAAAATTCGCCTGACACTGTCTTGCGAAAGCCATTCAGCGTTGAGATACTCTGCTCATCAACTTAACTTTGCTTGTTGATTCAATTGCTGAGAAATAAAATCTTTGGTAATAGAAAGATAACGTTACAGATTGTAATGGCAAAAATGTATGTAACCCTTAAATGTTTCATTGTTGTTGTTCGTCACTTTTGCCATATTTTACAGTATTCAGCTGTATTTACAAATAACAGTATATTACTATTGAGAATTTATGGAGACCAGATAAAAGGAGACCAGACCCTCCTCATAATCCACAAACACCCCCACCTTCTCAGGCCGGGACTCCAGAGAGAGAAGGACTGATTGGGCAGCCCAAGCAGAGTAATTATTCTCATTCCTCAACCATATCGTCCAGTAACCATTCTGAGGAGACGGTGAGGTGAATCCCTTCCTGTTGATGGACTCTCTCACCACTCCTAAATCCCACTCAGTCTTCCCTTTAACCTGAACCTCGTAGTAAAATCTACCTGAAGAGAAACTGCTTTCCTAAAACAACAGGATAACAATTAAATCTCTCTGGATTGTCTGGGAGATTCTTCTCTACAGCTCCATCTTTAACTTGTTTTCCACCATCAGACAGGATGAGTTGAGGATGTGCTGTATCAGGATCAAGTGTCACATCCACTGCAGACTGCTGGACTCTCTTCAGCTCGACCTCCAGCAGCTTCTTCATCTGTTGCTGAGCTACTAATAAAAGTCATGCATTGAAAAAGTGTGTCTATACCTGATGTTTCTGGATTAATATCCCTGCTGCATTAATGTGTATTTTAACTACTGTGTGTAGATACACTGTATATATTATTATTATATCAGATCATCATTTCATGGTATCCTTTGAGAACTTTGTATCTCTAAATAAATATCTCTAAAGAACACACATGACAAGCTATGAGTGTCATTCGTCTGTTGAAACTGTCTCAGCCAACTTTAAAACGAGAAACAAATTACAATTCAAAAGAGTCTTTTTTGAGTGATTTTCTTGTTCTCTTTTGTTTACAGTTACCATGTCTTACCCTGAGGGTTCAGGGGTCAGTCTTTAGAGTGGACATTGGATGAGTTAATACATGTCTTGCTTCCCTTTTTCCAGTCAAAGATCGTCTATAGAAGAGGAGGCATCCCACGGAGGGTTAAAATCTTCCCCTGCTTGTCCCATGTTATTTTAAGGAAAAAGTTTGTCTTTGTACACATTTGATTCAAGCAAACTCTTCTATGGTTAATACAAGCAACTTCATGACCCAATTACTAGTGACTGTAAATACATTATATGGGTACTTATGCAGAGGGAATGAGCCATAAAAAGTATTGAAATTTGTTTTTTGGCAGAGAATTTCATAAGAAAATATTTAACAGCCAATTAGCATAGCTTAAGACTGATAGTCTGACTGAAAAAAAGTGAATCGTTGATTATTTTTTTACAACCTGATTCTTGTAAGAATTAAAAGCATAAAATAATAATACAGTTTACATTATACAACAGAGGCATACTAACTGCTCTTGCCTTTTTCTGTATTTGTGCTAAGCTAGGCTAAGCTTGATATGTACATGATATGACATGGTACTATTTTTACAAAAGTACCCCTAAAATTGGCTGCGCCACACCATCAAAATGCCCTTAAAATGCTATCAATAAAATGTCATTAAAATGCCACTAATTGTATCCGTGTTTTTATGTGTGTGTTAGAAATATAATAGTATATTTTAATAACACTTTGAATCTATGCATGATGACTATGTTGTACACTGTTCGTACTACCTGCTGTAGCTATTGTATTTCACCTTTATTAGTTTGCCACATTAATGATGAAGAAGACTCGTTTTCCGCGAGCTTCCTGGTTTCAGGGGAAACCAACAGCTTGTTGTTGAGTGAGACATTTTACTGTTGGTTTCCTATCTGCGATTGCAGCTACAGGTGGCTCACCTGTGTGAGAACGCGCGCGAGCTCCGTGCTGCGGCCAGTGGCGACGGCGGCGCGCTTGCATTCCTGCACGCGCACTCCCGGTGCAACGGAACGAAAGTGGACGCGGGGGGACAAACCTCTGGAAATATCAATCGTTTGCAACGGAAATAACCGACGAAAAATAAACTAAAACACGCCAACAGTACCGGGGGAGCGCGTAGAGGCACCGGGGACAGCGGGCAGAGGCACTGGGGGTTCGGTAAAGTGCAGCCGGTAACGCCACGTCGACTGGAAGAAAGAACCCAACAGGTCGGACACGTCGGTCCGAACTGGGCTTCCTTCAGCCATGCTGGACCCGTCCTCCAGCGAGGACACCGGCGGCGAGTCCGACCTAGAAGCCGCCCAGGAGGCTCCGAAGAAAGCGGCGGCCGGACCGGCGGGGAAGCGCGGGGAAAACAACAACAGCCGGCCGGGCGCCCAGCGGCGTCGGTCCGGCGCACCTGGAGCTGAACCCGGTGCAGGTGCTCCAGCCTGCGGGGCTGCAGGTGAGGAGGAGGAGGAGGAGAGGAAAGAGCGGGAGCGCATCAAGAAGGAGGAAGAGGACCGGAAGATGAAGCTGCAGATTTACGTGTTCGTGCTGCGGTGCATCGCGTACCCGTTCAACGCTAAGCAGCCCACCGACATGGCCCGGCGGCAGCAGAAGGTGAGCACGTGCAACGCGCATCTGTTGAACTACCTTCTATTTACAATGTGCCCGTTTAAAGCGTTCTGCCCCACCTGACGTGAAAATGTATTGAAAATAAAACATTTTGGACATAGTTGGAACCACGAGAAGCTGCTGAATAATTCGGCAGCTGTTTGATCCACTTATTTCTATAAAATAGTTATTTTTTCTTCCACTCTCAGTTGCTTTAAGGTACAGAAAAGATAGCTGGGAGGACGACTGCCAGCGTTGGGACCCAACTGTGACATTTTAAAATATCTCTGAAATAACACGCACACATTGTATGAAGCGAGCCAAATTCAACACCGCTTGACTCTAGGGCTGCAACTAACGATTATTTTCGTAATCGTTTAATCTATCGGATTTTTTTTTCGATTAGTCGACTAATCTAACGATTATTTACCATAGTGTAGGAGCGTGGAAACAAACAAAGAGGCAAGTATTCCTTTAGGCTGCAACGTGTGGCCGTTTATTTCCATCCAATAACATCTGTCACACATTCACATCCTGCTCCCTTTTTACCCCCCATGTCACCAGGGTTACGCTCCTTCCTCTTGAAGGGCCTCGTGAATTCAGTCCTTTTAGTTTAGGAAAATAAATTGATCCAAATGTTGGAATTTGAACTTCAAATGTATTTGGGTAACACGTTAATACAAATAGTAATACAAAATGTAAGTGCAAATATGTTCCTTATAGGTAAAGAGAAAGTGCAACTTAAGTTTTAGAAGTAATTCAGATGCTATGCAAGTGGAAGGCTAAGTGGAGGAGGTTAACGTTAACTTTTCAGAACAAACGAAAAGACACAGAATTCAGATTTACTGCATTTAACATAACTGAAGCAGCGTAAGCAAGCATCCCCCACAAGACGTTCTATTTTCCAACATGCAAGTGTAAACCTTAGAAGTTACTTTAGGAGATTTGGAGGAGATTTTGTGCTCCAACGTTTTAAATGTTCCTGCGTTGCCGTCGTGCTTCTGTGAAATGACAACTCTGTTTTGCAGGTGCTGCCTTGTTTGGTTTGCTGATGAAATACTGTCTGACTGTCTTTTTTCAGCTCTCACAAGTTCAACTTGACAAACTTCTTCTTCGCCCTGGTGCATGTACACAATAGACGTGATAATGCCCCCACCTCTTCCTGTAGGGTATTGCAATGCCGAATAAAAAAGACCAGTAGCTCTGAATCTTCTTCTAATATACGACGCGTCAACAATAGAAATCTTCGTCGACAATTTTTCATAATCTGTGTCGTTGATTACGTCGACTAATCGTTGCAGATCTATCTGACTCGTTTAATGTTCTGCGTTTCTCTCCTTGCTGTGTGTATTTGCTCTGTTCATCTCGTGTCAACCTGAAAGGTGGTCATTACCTCATTCTACCCATGGGGTAAATACCATGTCGATACACCATCACCATTACTTTATCTAGACATACAGACCTAAACAGCTTATGAAACCTGACATTTGATGGGCTTTCGCTGCAACATTAAAGTTCCTTCTTTAAGAATCACTTCATTCTTGTCGAAAATGGATCTCTTTAACAGCGCTTTGATGTTACGTTAAACAAAAGGCAGATACTGAGGTCATTCTGTGTTCCTGTGCGCTCTGATGGCATCCTGGACCTGAAAGCTTAAGCCGTTGCTATGCCGTCACCGTTAAGCCGTTGCTATGCCGTCACCGTTAAGCTGTTGCTATGCCGTCACTATATCACCGTTAAGCCGTTGCTATGCCGTCACCGTTAAGCTGTTGCTATGCCGTCACTATATCACTGTTAAGCCGTTGCTCACTGTTAAGCCGTTGCTATGCCGTCACTATGTCACCATTAAGCCGTTGCTATGCCGTCACTATGTCACCATTAAGCCGTTGCTATGCCGTCACTATGTCACCATTAACCCGTTGCTGTACCGTCACTATGTCACCATTAAGCCGTTGCTATGCCGTCACTATGTCACCATTAAGCCGTTGCTATGCCGTCACTATGTCACCATTAAGCCGTTGCTATGCCGTCACTATGTCACCATTAAGCCGTTGCTATGCCGTCACTATGTCACCATTAACCCGTTGCTGTACCGTCACTATGTCACCATTAAGCCGTTGCTATGCCGTCACCATTAAGCCGTTGCTATGCCGTCACTATGTCACCATTAACCTGTTGCTGTACCGTCACTATGTCACCATTAAGCCGTTGCTATGCCGTCACTATGTCACCATTAACCCATTGCTGTACCGTCACTATGTCACCATTAACCCGTTGCTATGCTGTAGCCTACCATTATATTGGCACCCAACATTACTCTCCTGCTTCTTGAAGTAATGAAGACTAATAACAGAAACTTTGTTGGCATCTTGAATCCTGTCAGTTTCCTGTGATACTGCCTCTGGAGGCGGGGTTAATGATGCGAGCGGGCGCTTAGCGTTGGCCCACGCACAAGCTCAGCCTTCAGCGGGTTGAGGGTGGCCCCCCGTGATGATCACACCTCCGGGCTTCACCTCCCAGTGAACACATGATTGATTACAGAGGCTGTTTATTGTGTAGTTACCCCCTGAGAGGGGCGTTTATCGTTAAGAAATGACAGAAAAAAAACAACCTGCTGCAGCACGTTTGGGATGTCTTGAATGGTCGCTTCCAATGTCAGACCTCAATTTTAATTGAGTCGACTAATTCTTCAGAGGCTTCTCTGGTGAACACAAGGTTTACAGTGTCTCCCATGGGTGTTTACTCAACGCCGAGAGAAAAAACTTTTTATTCATTTAAAAGATCATTTTGCAGGTCAAGGAAGTGTCAGTGTGCGGTAGAAACATTTAGACTTTAGCTTTAATGTGACCTCTGGGCAAGTAAATCAAAGGAAAATTGACCGGTCCTCGGCATGCTCTCTGTAGCTCAACATGAATCATACTGACTGTAGAACCACAAGTTCTTTGGGGGAGGTTTTGCAGGGGACTGAAGCAGATAAACCAGCCTTGCAACATCCAGTCTTTCCTTGTTGACATAGTTTAAATGTTGGACTGAACGAGCTCGGCGGATTTCTTCCTGCTCGCTGCCTTAAAGGATCTGTTGTCACGTCTGCTTTTGGAGAGGCAGCCTCTTAGAAAGAGCGCTCTCTTAATGCTCGCCTCATCCGCCCGAGGTTGTGAGTCCCTCCTTTTGTTCTGGAGGCATCAAGAAAGTCATGGAGGGTGAATGAGCCCGTTTATGTCTGTGAATCAGATGACAAGAAGGAAACTCAAGTTCCTCCCGAGGCCATCTGCATGAAGTAAAGGATGTCTATTTCCCAAAGAGCGAAGTGACTCATTATTTATTCAAATAGAAAATGAAAGTGTATAAGCAGCCGCTCAGAATCCGAACTGCATATCCAAGTCCGTAGCAATCTGCTTTTTCTTTAGTTTTCTCCCTCTGACTCATAAGACTGAACGACGAAAACCTGAGACGAGCAGGTTGAAGCTGCTTCATGTTCCCCATGTTGGAAAGTTCCCCAGACAGACCAGGAGATTCAGTCTGTTCCAGCGGGGTTTATTTTGCTTGAGGGCTGCAGCCTGAAGCTGTGACGCTTTTAACCGCTCCAGCCACCGTGGAAAGCACCTTTTCTCGTGACCACTCGGCACCTTTTCTCTCTTCCTGCTGCTCTGCAGCTTCCCTCCGGGAACCGAGGAACTGCCGCTGCGACCTTGTGGACACGCTCATAGCTCATCACTCAATCTACAATCTGCGCTGCGGCCTTGAGGCTTTTATTTCTCCTTCTGATTTTCTAAAATCTGGTTAAAGAGTCGAGCAGCTGATGGAGGATATTCTCTGGCAGAGAGGAAACGCCCACCTGTTGTGTCCTCACGCCTCTCAAACATTGGAAGCTTCATGTCTTCCCCCGGTGTTTCTGTTTTTGTCCCGTTTCCAATAGCGCAGGGAAAGCACAAATGCAGAACCCCCCCCCTCTCAAAGAGGACCCACGCATACCCCCCCTCCTGCACACATCCGATCCCTGGCAGCTGTTTATTACACAAACACGATAAGCACCGTCTCTGCTGTAAGACGCCGCTTCTGCTGATGTGGACGCTCTTTATTTTCTATATTCTTTATTTCTTGCGGGTAAGTGGGCGTGAATCTCTTTTGGGGTGGGGGGGGAAGATTTGCTTGAGGCGACTTCCATCCTCCTTTGTCATCTCTCCTTCCCCTGACTCCCTGAGACTGGGCTCTCCTCAGAGGGTTATGCAACCTCTCCTCCTCTCCTCAGACGTGAGAAGATGCCTCAGCAGGGCTGTGATGGAGCATCAGCCATCCAGTCAGCCCCGCGGCCCCCCCTCGTCCACGTGCACTATTCTAACCACTACACTTCCCTTCACGTTGTCCAGGCAGAAGTCACGTGCACTGGTGGAAGTGACAGTATTGCTCTTTAAACCGTGTAAACATGTAAACGGTTGCGGTCGCTGCAGTCTGCCGCAGGAAAACCAGACTTGTCAACGTTAGCTCAGAAAAAGCATTAGTTTGTCCGTTCTTTACAGAACAATCTGTTCGGTTCAAATACAATAGCCAAAAGTTTTCAGAAGAAGAAATTCTGTGTGGGATTTTTATTTTTGCTGTCAATTGTGTTTTCCCCCAATTTCAATACATTAATCAAAGTACAAATTCCCACTTTCTGATAGGAAATGTAAAGATATTCAGTTAATATGACATGATGGTCGGAGTTACCACCTGCTATCCTGTTGAATGCAGCGTTAGTTATTTTAAGGTCTTAGATGAACGGCGAGCAATACCGTTCTTTTTTTGTTTCCAATTTAAACACCCACAGAAGGAAGCCCAGAATGCATTGCAGAAACACGAACAAGCACATACTCAAACCCCCCTGCACGGCTCACCTACACAAACCTCTCTGCTGAATCGTGTAAATTACACCAAGAGTTTATTATATGACACATGCTGTGGTGATGTGGGGGGGTGGGGGGGTCATATGTTCTCACATTAGCTAGCGCTTTGGAAAGGGAAAATATACT